AGCGGGGAAAGCTGAGGGCGGCTGCGGCGGAGCGGGACCAGCGCGGGCAGCGCTCGGAGACAGCTCCTCCGAGGCACACACGGGACGCACCGCGGCCGTGGCGTGCAGGAGCACTGCGTGCGGAACAGACAAACCCCTGGAAGTGGAAGATGCTCGGTGCTGGGCCAGTCCTGTTTAACATCTTTATCAGTGATCTGGATGAGGGGACCGAGTGCTCCCTCAGCAAGTTTACAGATGACACCAAACGGTGTGGGAGTGCCGATCTGCTCGAGAGTAGGAAGGCTCTGCAGAGGGACCTGGACAGGCTGGGGCGGTGGGCGGAGGCCCATTGCATGAGGGTTGTATGAGGTTTAAGAAGGCCAAGTGCGGGGGATCTCAGTAACCCCATGCAGTGCTACAGGCGTGGGGAGGAGGTCAACAGCGACTGAACATGAACCAGAAGCATGTCCAGGTGGCCAACAGCGTCCTGGCCTGCATTAGGAATAGCGTGGTCAGCAGGACCAGAGAAGTGATTGTGCCCCTGTACTTGGCACTGGTGAGGCTGCACCTCGAGTACTGCATTTAATTTTGGGCAATGCAGCATAAGACATTGAGGTGCTAGAGAGGGCAACAAAGCTGGTGAAGGGCCTTGAGAATAAGTCTTATGAGGAGCAGCTGAGGGACTTGGGGTTATTCAGTCTAAAGAAAAGGAGGGTGAGAGGAGACGTTATTGCTCTCTATAATGAGCTGAAAGGAGGGGGCAGCGAGGAGGGTGTGGGTCTCTTCTCGTAAGTTACAGCCGATAAAACAAGAGGAAATGGCATCAAGTTAGGCCAGGGGAGGTTTAGGTTAGACATTAGGAAAAACTGCACTGAAAGGGTTATCAAAGACTGGCACAGGCTGCCCAGGGCAAGTGGTGGAATCGCCTAAAAAAAAAAAAAAAAGCTGTCTAGATACGGTGCTCAGCGATGTGGTTTAGAAGCAGGTGTGGTAGAATTAGATAACAGCTGGACTTAATCCTAAACGTCTTTTCCAACCATGATGATTGTGTTTCCACCATCCTGTGCTGCCAGACAAGCAGCCTTACAGTGCCACAGCTGTACAGCACAGACATGTTGCGGTGGACCTGGGTAATGCAGTGAAACACCACAGCCTGTGACAGAAAGTTCTTGTCAGAGCTGGGACAACAGCTGCCTGAGAACCCAGGCGCTAAGTCTCATGACCCCACCACCCTGGCCAGAGCAGGCTCCCACCCACCCCCATGTCCCTGACAGGGGGCAGCCGCCCCAGCAGCCAAGTGGCAGTGGTCATCAGCTGCACCGGCCACAGCTGAGGCTCGTGGCACCTTCCTGCCCAATGCCCTGGCCCACAGCAGCCCTTGGGGAATGTGCAGCCATGGCCACCCACACCAAAAGAGATGGCCAGGGCTGCTGGGGCAGCAGAGAGGCATCTCGTACAACTTCTGGGTCTCTGGAATCATGAAAGGGATGTAGTTCATTATCAGAAGTACTGGTCTTCCTCGCACAAATAAAATGCTTTTATTTCAGGTATGTTTTGGTGAAAAAAAACACCAAACCATTGAAGATACAGTCTTTCAGTAGTGAGTATAATTTAGACTAAGCATTGACAATTTAAAAACATGTGAAAAGCAGTGTTTTCTAATACTACGGAAAAAAATAGAATCCTCCTGCAGTCATAAAAATTAGAGCAACAGCCTGTGTTGCACGTTACTGTTGCTGATCGTTGGGTCTGGGTGCAGGACAACTAGCTTCATACTTTTTCTTCAAGCCTTTCAAATATATACGCAGGCTGTCTGGATCCAGTCGAGAATTTCTGGCAGCCTGAACCAATCTCATTGCTAAATGGTACACAGCTCTCTGCTGCATCATCTCAGGAGTGCTCTTCTGCCTGTACTGTTGAAAACATACACATGCATTAAAATGTGAAATCCATCACCTTCTAAAATACTAATATCAGCTATTTTCAAGCTTATTTCTGATCTCCGGATTCTTGGCTTGTACACCAAATACTCCTTAACCCTAAGGACTGCTTCAGCAACCTTCAGTGTATAACTGGTTCCAGAAAGACAAACTTTAATGAAATATGTTTTCATAAGACTGTAGGTAGTGCTTATCCCATATACTTTCAGAAACTGGAAATATATTTGAGTTCTATAAAAACTGTAAATTACAGTATTACGATTTTCTACTACGTACCAAAATCTGTTTTGCAATATGATTTGTGATTTCCTTTGCATCCGAAAGTATTGATGATGGTAGGGAGGAAACTTCTGCAGCTTTTAATCCTAAACATATAAAACACAAATCAGGATTTGAAATGTTATTTTTTTTCCTACCTTCCATGCTATGGCAGAATTAAAAGCCTATTTTAAAGGGTGAAGTTTTCATTTTTATTAAAATAATTTTGATATACATTTTGTGTCTTTTTTTAAAATAAACAATATGGGTTTGAGAGTTCCAAAATAAAATGTCTACTTTGTTGTAACACGACCTCTATGATCCACTTCCACATGAAGTTACTGCTGGTAATACTGTAACTGGGCAGGATGAGAAAGGAAAGAATGTCACAGCGGTGTTAACAGCTGTCTCTGTTTAGTTTTTTAATTTGGCAGGACAGAAAATACTGAGGTTGTGCTAAATGCGCTCTCCATTAAATCCAGACATCCAGTGGATGTGGTTGTCGTGTTCCAACTCGTGCTTGGTACCAGTAGCCAAAGTGCCAGATACTCAGGGTGAGAAAGAGATGTAAAATACTTTTTTCTGCACTAACACGATTTTTTTAGTTTTTTACTTTGCCTGTGGCCCTGGCTGTTCTGGGAAAATCCTCTGTTCATCAGGTGCTTTAATACTGTGAGGTTACAAACAAAAAAGGGTCAGAAAGAGCCCTTTTACCCTTTCTTAGAATGTAACTTTGCTCAAGTAAGGCAAAGCCAAGGCTCCAACACCGAGTTACTAAAGGTCTCCTGTTCTCTGAGAATACTCTCTAAAATTAAGATATTGCTGAATTAGTGGTGGTGTAGCATCTGAATTTGAGCTTGTGCTGCCAAAGGTAAAGAAACCTACTCTGAAATTCTGATATAGAAATGTTTTAAGTCCAGTTAATTGAAGGTTGACTGAAGCAATTTGTAGTCATCAGTTACCTCTAGCTTGCAAAAGTCATGTGTAGCTAATTTCCTATTGATTAAATGTCACCTAAATCCAGGATCCAACTTCAGAATCTAGTATTTGGAAACACACAGATTTCTGTAACTTTAAAACATGTAGCTATGCCTTATTGTCACTCGCCCATTTCTTTATTGACCCATAATCCATCAATCTGTACAGTCTGCAGTGTGATTTATTCTAAAGTTAAAAGAGAAGTAAACCCACTTTCTGAGAACACCGATGCTTTAGTGGAACCTCTCTAAATAGTTGTAGGCTGATACACAGTAAAATTCCTGTCCTTCTAAAAATAAAAGATATTCCTTTTTGCTAATCCAAAAGGGCCAAGCTGCTATGTAACTGCAATATCATTACTTACGGCAGACACGGAAGAGTTCTGCATAACAGAAACCTCAGCATTCACAGCTTTAAGTCTCTCCAGAACTTTCACTCCCTGCCATAAGTGGTGCGTGGTCAGAATGGCTCCTCTACTTCAGAGGTGAATTGAGTAGCTACTGACATTACTCGCATGGTTCTTTTCACTATGAAATTTCATCTAAGTTCTTCATACTACCCCAAACTGCTTTCTCACTACATGGTTACTTAAAACACACAGTATTTGTAACATATTACAGATCTGCAGTTGTTACTCTACGAGAAAGGGACAAACTCAGCAGAAGTCTGTCAGCAGAAAAATACTGTTAGATGCCCAATAACTGAAACAATTTACACTGGAAGGGGGAAGGTTTAGATGAGACATTGGAAATAAATTCCTCCCTGTAAGGGGGTGAGGCCCTGGCCCAGGTTTCCCAGAGAAGCTGTGGGTGCCCCCTCCTTGGCAGTGCCCAAGGCCAGGTTGGATGGGGCTGTGAGCAGCCTGGGCTGGTGGAGGTGTCCCTGCCCATGGGGGTTGGACTGGGGGGGCTGTGAGGTCCCTTCCAGCCCAAACCACACTGTGATTCTGTGATAATCTTTACTAAGTTAAAGTCATAGGGAGATCCATTACCGTAGTTCTTTTCCTCTGTACATCCTTTAGAGAGTGTGTAAGTGTAAGCAATTTTCTCCTTATTTCCAGCACTGCTTCTCACATGTTGTACTTCAAAATGGTAATTTTCCACATTGGGATATAAAGCATCTATGTGACACAGTTCCAGGAAATGTGTAGCAAACAATGTAAATGCCTAGGTAAGGAAACAAGAAAGAAAATTTATTTTGGAAATGATCCTGGAATAAATTACAATAAATGAGAAAAATTAAATTATCTCACTGACATCCACGGTTTCCTCCAAAACATTGAAAAGCTGTCTTTAACTTACTAAAGCAAATTAAAATCAAGCATTGAGTTCTACCAATGGCAAGGATATTTTATCTGACTGAGGATTCTCTAACTCCTTTCTCAATAGAAGCAAGAGTATCAGAAGTAACAAGAAATCCATGATGCTTACAAAATTTGACTAGCATTAATTTGAATATCAAATGGTTGCCTTAATACTCTCAAGGAATGTTTTGCCAAAGGTACAAGCTGCAGACAGTACCTGAGCTTTTCAAACCAGACCACAGAAGTACTCTGAATAAACGGATGAGAAACTGAACACCTACACAATTTCAAAAAGCTGACAACAACCTGAGGTTGATCACATAACTATTAAAAGAGGTGAAACTTCCAACCCGTCTAAAACCATCTTCCACTTTTCTAAACCTCTGATCTCTGTGACCAGTCTGTGAGCTGTACAGAACTATCACTGCACTTTGGAAGGGCAAAAGGCAGGTGAAGAGGTTCACCTGTGACACTCGAGCACACAAATAAGCAAAACAAAAGAGAGAGAGAGTGAGTTATTCTCTTTCTAGATAGAAATGCGAGCTTGTGAGCAAGTTGGAAACAGATGGTGACCAGTGCGCTGGTTTTGGTTGGCACGGGGTTAATTTTCTTCATAGTCCCTCATACAGTGCTGTTTTGGATTTGTGATGAAAACAGTGCTGATAACACACGGATGTGTCAGTTATTGCCAAGCAGCACTTGCGCAGCATCAAGGGCTGCTGTGCTCCTCACCCTGCCCCACCAGTGAGCAGCTGGGGGTGCACAGGGAACTGGGAGGGGACACAGGGGCAGCTGACCCCAGTGACCACAGGGATACCCCTCACCATGTGATGCAGCAAGAACAGCTGGGGGAAGAAGAAAGGAGGGACATTCAGGGTGATGGTGCTTGTCTTCCCAAGCAACTGCTACGTGTGGTAGAGCCCTGCTGTCCTGGAAATGGCTGAGCACCTGCCTGCCATGGGAAGCAGTGAATTAATTCCTTGTTTTGCTTTGCTTGCGCTCACAGCTTTGCTTTTCCTATGAAACCGTCTTTATCTCAGCCCACAAGACTTTGCACTTCTACCCTTCTGATCCTCTCCCCATCCCTGGGGGGGGCAGTGAGTGAGCGGCCAGGTGGTGTTCAGCTGCCTACTGGGGTTAATTCACAAGTGAACAGGAGTGCAGCAGTTTTTTCTCTATCACCATAATTCTTACTATTTGCCAGTTATGAAAAATATATTTAGGCAAGAAACCTCAACAGAACTGAAGTTAAATTATGAAAAAATACTGTATTTACTTTCAATATGACAGAATAATTGCAAAGTTTAATTTTTTTTCAAAACCGGATTACCTTTAAATTCAACAGATATTCACAGACAGCATAACAAATGCCGATACCTTCTTCAGCACTGGTACCTCTGCCAAGTTCATCAATTATGATGAGTGATTTGTCATTAGCATTTTGTATGATGTATGTTATCTAGGAAAATATTGAATATGTTATCATTCCTATAAATGCACTGGAAAAAACCCTAATAGGAATACTGCTGCTAATAGGAATATTTTGTGTTATTCAGGTGAAAATGCAGAATTTTTAAAAAATCTTGTCAGATTCACAGAATGTTACCTTTTCACAGCCTTCAAATACCTGTCAATTCCAACCAAGCAAAGACTCTCACTACAGCACTCTTTTTCTTTTCCATTGAATGTGCATCACTTTCCCTCAAAATCGTATCAGTTTGGAAGAGGGAATTGAGAGGGCTCAGGCTCATACAAATCATCATTTAAGGCCCAAGAAATAACAAAACATTGAAACTGCTGTCCAATAGACCACGGATTCTTACTCATACTGTGATATCATTTTTTGTAAGATATGCCTGGTTCTCTGTGGTGTGTCATCATGGTAACAAATGGAAGCTGCATTTTTGGCTAGTTGAGGACTTTTTGACACACCCACTATCAGTGGAAATATACTAGTACATTTTCTATTAGCTTAACAGTAAAAATGGGCCTTGGACCCTGGCTTAGCCATGTTTAATACCTCTTTCATTTCCTTCATGAATGTTGATGCATTTGTTTCTATATCATCATCCATACCTATTCTGGTAAAAATTTGCTCTGCAATTCGAAAAGAACAGTACTCTGCTGGGACATAAGAACCTACAAAACAAGTGACAGATGAATTTTCTCTTTTCAGTGTGACATATTCCAATTTCCCTAAATACATCAGTGGGAAAAAAATATGTTTAGCACTTGGTCTGTATGCACTGTAGAGAATGCATCTTCTTCTATAATGTTTCATACGATTATGTTCTACCATTACTTTGTAGGAAAAAAAAATTATAGGTACCATAATTAAAGAAGCTTATCAGTAAAACCTTAAGAAATCACACCCTTGGAGCAGTCTAAAGGGATGCAGAAGTGAGAATAAACACTAAGATTAATTTACATTTCTGTAGCCACTGAGTTACTAAGTCTCAAGGAAATTTAATTTCCCCAAAACAAGATTATAAAGCCTTTAAAAGACTTTGAGGCTTATTAGTCTTATTGAACAGAAAAGAACAGGAAATCTGCCAAAACACTTTACAGCCTTGTCTATTCATATTAAACTCATGGTTTTGAGAGCAATTCCTGAAGAACTTGCAGTTGTTGGGGACTGGAAACACAAAAATATGGTGGACAAAATTTATTTTCCTCTGCTAAGTAGTTTTGTTCTAGTAGTTAGGGTCAGCCTATTAAGGTCTTTCTCCTGTGCTACCAGCTTTAACTTTACCTTTTAGGTAAAAATTGCGAGGACTTCCTGACTATAGAGATGAGTTTCATATAGACTTTATAAATATTTCTTTTACAAATTTAGAATCATAGAATCGCTTGGGTTGGAAAGGACCTTCAGGATCACTGAGTCCAACCGTTAACCCAGCACTGCCAAGTCCACCACTCACCCATGTCCCTCAGCACCTCACCTCTCCATCCTTTGAACCCCTCCAGGGATGGAGACTCCACCACTGCCCTGGACAGCCCCTGCCAGTCCCTGAGAACCTTTTGGGGAAGGAGTTTCCCCTCAGAACTAACCTAACCCTCCCCTGGCACAACTTGAGGCCATTTCCTCTGATCCCATCGCTTGTTCCAGGTAAGCAGAGATTGACCCCTTGCTACCCCCTCCTTTCAGGAGCTGCAGAGGGGATAAGGTCTCCCCTCACCTGCTCTTCTCCAGTTGAACCCCCCAGCTCCCTCAGCCACTCCCCATCATTTGGGTGCTCCAGACCCCTCCTCAGCTCTCTTGCCCTTCTCTGGCCACGTTCCAGCCCCTCAATGTTCTGACCCCAAAACTGACCCCAGGATTCAAGGTGCGACCTTCAGCAGTGCCCAGCACAGGGGGCACTAGTGATAGAACCTTGCAGCATTTATTACTTCTTTTATCTGAAGTAGTTGATTATTTATCTGTTACTATTACTTGGCTGCAAGCATGTTTCTCTACATAACTGAGGTATGCTCAAGTTCTTCTGTTCCTTTTGGATAACTAACACACACGCAGCTTGATGGGCATACTTCAGAGACACTCACTGTCCATCAAGCCTAGGGCGTTAGATCGGGTTAAGGTGCTTCTCCTAAGACAGACTGGGGAGGCTTCCAGATACACAGATGAGGACTCATAAGTTTCCAGTGGCAGACCCAAAACATTGCAGTGATCTCTGCCAGCAACACAAGAGCTGGTAGGAGCAAATGGACTAAAAATTACTTGTTACTATTTAAGCCGAATCTTATCCTAGAAGCCAAATCATTCAACTTAATAAATATGTTGAACTTGAAATCAATAAATGTGCTGCAGAAGATTGCTAATATGGTACACTCTTACTCACCAATCTGTGCCATAATTTGACAGAGAGCAATCTGTTTTAGGTACGTTGATTTTCCACTCATATTTGGTCCTGTAATAATGCCAAAATTGTTACCCTCTGTCAGGTATGTGTTGTTAGACACAGGTTTTTCCATAGCTATCTTTTCAAGAATGGGATGCCATCCCTGCTTGATTGCTAAAGTATCTGTAAATTCTGGACGAACTAAATGAGAAAAAGGATATAAATCATTGCAGGGTTAGTAAGGAAACATTTACATTATTAAACTTATGCATTCTGAAATAAACTAATTCTCACAGAGCAGAAGTCAAACTCGGTGGTCCTGATTCTCCGATTTTTACTTTCCTGTAGTAAGCAGGACTACCATGCAGCACTTGGGGGAGAATTACCAGCCACTTTCAGGCATTGATCCTGAGCTGCATCCCCAGCAGCATGGCCAGCAGCACGAGGGAGGGGATTCTCCCACTCTACTCCACTCGCATGAGACCTCCACCTGAAGCACCTCGCCCAGCTCTGAAGTCCCCAGAAGGACATGGACCTGCTGGAGCGAGTCCACAGGAGGCCATGGAGATGCTGAGGGGCTAGAGCAGCTCTGCTATGGGGACAGCTGAGAGAATTGGGGTGCTTCAGCCTGGAGAAGAAAAGGCTCTGAGGAGATCTTAGAGCACCTTCCAGGACCTGAAGGGGCAACAGGAAAGCTGGGGAGGATGTTTTACAAGGACAGGGAGTCATGGGACAAGGGGTGATGGCTTTAAACTGGAAGGAGGGAGATTTAGATGAGACATTAGGAGGAAATCCTTCCCTGTGAGGGTGGTGAGGTCCTTGCCCAGGTTGTCCAGAGAAGTTGTGGGTGCCCCCTCCCTGGCAGTGCCCAAGGCCAGGTTGGACGGGGCTGTGAGCAGCCTATGCTGGTGGTCCCTGCACATGGGGAGTTGGACTGGGGAGTTTGAAGTCCCTTCCCACCCAAACCAGTCTGTGATTCAAACTGAAAGAGGGAAGATTTAGATTTTAGATCCACACCTGCAGATGTAGATTTATGGGAAAAGCTAAGTGGCTTTGGTCTTATTATTACCGCTGACAGAAACGTGTTCTCTGATTCACTTCTCAGGAAAAAGTTGTGATGCCTCAAGCACATCAGTTACTGTTCAGTTACAGATCAGTCCATGTGCTATGACTGGAACCATCGGCACATTAAGATTCACAGCCCATACTGTGAAGCAAACAGATCCTGCTCTTGAACTGGAAATTACATAGTAGCATCAGTAGTGATGAGCTAATACATCTCCTGAGATGGCTTCCAAACCTGCTTTAGCATCTACACTGCACTGCACTGTAGGTAAGTATCTTAGGTCAGCATTAATTGAAGACAACGTGCTCATTGGTACATTGTAGAGCTGGGCAAGGGAGGCAGGATGAACAATATGCAGGTAAGCACATGATCCTGGATTCCTTAGAAGACTCTACTTCCAAAAATGTTTAGAAGTGCCACAGAAATTGAAGCAGATAAACAAAGGCAGCCACATATTTTGTTTTACAGTGTATACTTAAGTTGATCTGCTTGGATTATCCTGTGCCCTTTCAGAAATTTAAACTCAGAATGTTCACAGACTCATGTTTTTGAATCCAGTATGCTCTAACCAGCTATCTTGAAAAGACTGGCTGTGGAGGCTTACAGCAGCTAAACGGCAGAATGTAATTTCAATGAATGGAAACAGAAAGAACATCAGCACAACACTGGCAAGGATTGACCAGAGACACTCACCTAAAGCCTACTGCGACCGGCAAAAATAAATGACCTGGGCTTAGCAATTGGAGAACCAGACAAAACAGCCTGAATATTCTCCAACAGGAGGATCAGAATCAAAGAAGAAACTTACCGTAATCAGAAAGAGTGCAGGCGTGGGCAAATGAAAGCAGCATATCCAGCATTGACACAATGTCAGACAGCTTGTACAGGCAATGAATGTGCTCATAGATCTCGTTCAGTAGCTTACACACTATTCTGAAATAAGACACTGATTTAGTTGTTGCACAGCACATACTGTCACTTTATACAACTTACAGAAATAAAGCAAGATAATAATGTCCCTACTGCATACATCAGGTTAGGAAGTTACTCATAAAATGCAATCAACTCTGCCAGTGCAAGCAAATGTATACATTTATTTGAAGGAAATTAAGATCTTATACCATCATCTCAGATCAAAATCTGCTATCAGACACAAGACACATAGCTCAAATACCAACAGCTCATAAGAAAACTCCACAGAGAATGAACTGAAAATCTAGCTATGGAATCAAGCATATTATGTTAGCATGTCAAATGCAGCTCTAATTCTCTTAGGCCTTCCTGCAAATAAGACCCCCACATGGTTTCTAGAAGGGAAATGTTGCAGCAAGGACCAAATACAGAAACAGACAGTTCTACTGTAAATGCAAAGGACTGATTAAAAATAATGATTCTGTATTACAAAACTAATGCATTCATTGTGTCATTTTGTGTAGATAATTAATCCATAAAAATTAATAAATACGATGACCACCCTTAGAAATAAATGCCTATATATTTGTAATCACATTGAATACAATACACATTGTGGGGGTTTTTTTTGTCTCAGGAAGTACACTTGAGCAGTGTTGCTCTGGATTATTTCTGTAAGTTGCCATAACTTAACAGAAAGATAGCTTTAAGAAAACATGTAACTAGCTGTTAATTGGACAAAATAAATGTAGTTATAAAATATTAAATAGTTTTAAATGGTCTTACAAGTAGCTCATGTGATATATTTCTCTCAGGGACTCCTGACATCTTTCATTCATTTTTATTATATCTGCTGAAGTGAAGCTATATGTGTTTTTCATTTTAGTGATCTACAGGAAATTCAAACCACCAATAAGAACTTGCCATATTATCAGAAACAGAAATAGTTTCTAAAAAGCAAACTGGGAACAATATGGGGGGGGGGTGTGGAGAAGCAGAAAAAACAATATCTGGTTTCATTTTTCCCATATAAATTTTTATGAAAAATCCATTTAAGAGAATGCAGTTGCCAGCAAGATATACAACTTTATATTTATACACACACAACATAATTGCATGTAATTGCACATTTCTGACTACATTAAGTGTGACTAGAAATAAGGCAGTTATAAAGACATACCAATTACACCTTCATTTACTTCTAGATATCACTTAAATTATTTTAATTGTTGTTTAAATTGCTGTGTAATATGCATTTTATTAATGTATTATATGTTTTATATACATTAAATATACAAACATTATATGAAAAAACATCTAGTACAGATACCTTTGTAAATTCTGGAGGAAGTTGGCCATTGGGTAACATGGAACAATCAACATTCAACTGGATAAAAAATCCACGAGCAGAGCTGAAACATGTTTTCATCGGTAGGTTGTACTTTTCTGCAAGTTGTTTTATTATACCTGCATATCACAAATAAAGATTTGACCCAAATTACATACATTCACGTGCATACACACACACGCATACATGTTTGTGTTGGAACAAAGATGCATACTGTTAATGTAATTTATAGGCACTGAATGTGTCAGGTAAGTAACACAACAAAAGGCCACAGAGATGGGTCTCCAGGGAGTTATTTAAGTAACATATTAATGCAACAAATCTGGCTGCATAAAGCTATTGGGAAAAAAATTCCAGTGGAGAATCAGATAAATTCCCATGATCTTTAAAGACAGTTCATGCATCTGACCAACTACCAGGAAAGGAAAGTCTGCTCAAGCACTTGGTGTCAGTGTCTGAGCAGCAGCCAGAACAGGCACTGCAGACCAAGGATGCTCCGTTTTTAACCAGTTCGTGACACTGCACAATCTGCTTTCCCCTGACTGGGGGGAAATGCTTTACATGTGTAATCCCTCTCTCCCCCTTAAATCCATCTTGTTCCCAGCTGAGACGATAATGTACACGGGAAACTGTTAATGATAGAATATGTACTGTTAAATCATGAGAATTCTGAATGCTGCGAAGATGGCAATAGTGTGGTACTCCTGTCAGAAGACACCCCTCGTTACTGGTGTCTACTTGGACACTGAGCCATTGACTGTAACTCTTTGGATGTGGCCATCCAGTCAACTCCTTATCCACCTTGCATCCACCTCTCGTTTAGTGCATCTGTCAAACCCATCTCTCTCCAATTTAGCAACGAGGATGTTGTGGAGGACAACATCAGAGGCCTCACAGCAGCCTTACAGAAAGACAACGTCAGTGCTTCAGTCTTGGAGTCGCTTAGTGTTTAAACCAGTAAAGAGGAAAAGAGAGAAGAATCCCTTCTGCGAGCATGTGGGCTACAGTGAAAGTGGGCAAGGGGAACACATCAGTTCACAGTCTGCAATACTAGCAGCTACCAAATTTTGGAAGGTTTAGGAAATAAAAAACAATAGCACCTGTACTTTTCATTGTGTACTATGTAGAATGTAAGATTAGGAGGAAGCGGGAAGCTCACAACATATGACAGATGCTAAATTTTCTGATGCTCTTTTCAGTTTCCAATTATATAGTAAACTAAGATGATGTCCTTTAGCTAGAAATCAACATTTTATATTAAAAAATGAGATCTATTCCCAAGCATAATTTTTTTTTCTTCTATTTTGACTTGATGATAAGAGATGGGATGATAAAATTCCTTTCGTTTGTATTTTCCAACTCTTAGTAGCTTGGCTAAAAAGTAGTGCCCAGATAGACCAAGACTGCCTAGAATATAAAGAACCAAGATTTACATGTTTTCATTGGAATAGTTCCGTCACGTTACTTTAACTTTTTTGTACTTTTAGAGGATAAGGAGCAACAGAGTTTTAAATGCAGGAATCTCAGTTCAACTTCATTAAAATAAAACCAAGTTTTTATCTACAAAAGGAGAACCTCAGTATGTATCTCAAAAGTGCTTCAGTTACCTATCAATGACACTAATGACATTAGTTTATAATAAAACTAAACACTTCTTACACATGAGAAGGTTATAATACACATGATTACTTGACTTTTGTATGCCAGGTGCAATGTAATAAATTAAAATCTTGTTTTTTATCATACCTGCTATATCATCAACAATTTCCGTGTATGTTCTACGGGCTATGTCAAGGAATTCATTGATGTTAGGCTTAACAGCATAGCATTTCTGGGTCCTCATACTCAGACATCCTTTTGTGTACCTTGTATCGTCATTAATTACAGTTGTAATCTTTTCAAGCATAATTCCAAATCTGCAATATTAGTTGTATCACTAATTAGCTACATAATACTGTACAATTTTTTGCAATATCATTCCAGAATTACAAGTAAGAGTATTACAAATAACTGAAGTAAATTATCTACTGTTAAAACCAAACACTAAATTTCATGTACATTTTTGCCTCAGAATAAAGTATGACTATTACCAAGTCTGACCAAAGATACCATTCAACTCTTTGAAAGACATTAATTATTCCTCAAATACACAGGAAACAAGTGATATTTTTTATTATGGGGACTCTAGGAAACCACTACTACTGTCTTTTCAGAATTCTTTCTGATGGAGTTCAGTTCATCAGCATTTGCAGTATCATAGCTAACTTTCTGCTTTGCTTTTTTCCCTGTATTTGTTGTTTGAAAATCAGAGTTTTTGACAATTAAAATCAGTTTTTAGGCAAAAGAATCGAGTTATACCTGTAACTACAAATAAGCAAAGATACAACATCTTTAATCTTAGACATTCCTAAGCAGGCTGAGAGTTTCTGACATACTAGATGAAGTATATGATAAATACCTTGTATCTTCAAGAGAACTGTAATAAGCCTTTAGGAGCGGTGTGTTACAGCTTTTTAGAGCAGCCTGTTGAAGATCAACATATGTACATGAACTTCTTTTTAATACTAAGTTTAAAGGACTAAAAGTTCTTAAGATTCATTAAGGCTTATTAGCAGGTGCTTAAGCAGGTTATGGAATATGAGCAGGAGTTTCAGTTACATGCTTGTTATAAAATAAATTATTCAGGTATTGGTAGGAATCCAGTTCTTCAAAGTATTAGACTCAAATGCATATTTTTAATTGGCTTATTAATTACTGAACTATGTTAGCAGTATTGTGTTCTGCAAGATATAAAGTAATTTTATTTTTGACTCAGTGACACTTATCAGTCCTTTCCAACTTGAGATACCCCATCCTATGAAATGTAACAAACTGCACTGCATAAAAAATAAGGACAAGATGGTCTGTACTTCATTTAAAAAAAGAAAAAACAGACAGACACCTACTTTTAGAGGCTCCACAAGTTCTATAGTATGCTTCAGGTAGATTAAATTAGTTATCTTTGATTCAGCAGCTTTAACCTGTTGAAAAATGTTATAAATATTGCAGGTGTTTGCACATCTGCCTGCCTCTCTCATCCTAGTACTGTCGAATAGGATGCACATTAATGAAGACTGAAGGCAGGGAGTGATGAAAAACTAAACATTTTTGGAAGTAAATTTGCATAAATTAAGATAAATGTGATATTGAAGCAAAACCAAATTTTTCTACTATTCTCCTATGAGAATAGTAGAACAGGCTGCCCAGAGAGGTTGTGGAGTCTCCTTCTCTGGAGACATTCAAAACCCGCCTGGACGCCTTCCTGTGTAACCTCATCTGGGTGTTCCTGCTCCGGCAGGGGGATTGGACTGGATGAGCTTTTGAGGTCCCTTCCAATCCCTAACGTTCTGGGATTCTGTGAATCTTCTACCACTGTAAAATAATACATACTCTCAATCTGTGATAACACATTCCATGTCTTTTTAAAGTGCAGTCTTTTTCTTATCATACCATGCATATTTATAGATATCACATTTCTATATTGCATGTTACAGCCATCATTTAAGACGTATTTTGAAACGTACTGTATCCTGCTTTGGAATTTGTACCAAAACTGAAAGCAGTTGTTCTGTATCCAGGAATTTTGAGATAACTGTAAAACAAAAGTAAACAGATCAGAAATTGACCTGAAATTGTAATAAAATCTTTTTTTTTTTTAATGCACACAACTTAGTGATACTCATGCAAATCTTTTTCTTTCATTCTGTCTCCAGAAATCATTTACCAGTCAAAAAAAAGTTAAAAATTAGCTGCTATCTAAATTATTTTGTCATAACTAAATTTACTATGCCTAAGTATGTAGTCATTATTTTACAGGTAGAAATAAATATTCTTTTACGCAATATTCTTTTTGTTAGATTGAATCGTATTTCTCAGTAATAAAGATTACATGATCCAGCTTCAGGTGGACTAACTCATACTCTGGTATTAGTTTTGGTTTTTTTTTAACGTTTGTGTGGACCACTATGTTTTATGAAGCAAGAGAAAAAAATATGCATACACAAAGAGTATTATGTCAGTGATGCCCTTATTTGTTTTTAATGTATACTTTTTGTATACTTGTATACTTCCAATGTAGTGTGTATCTACCCATAGAGGTAACAAGACAAACTCAAATTCTTTGAAAACACTATTGGTTCACTGACTTCTATCCACTTTATCAGAGAAATTCTATTTTCTGAGCAAAATACTTGAGAAAAATATCACTACCATTACTTAAAAAAATAAGTGTCCACTATATAAACATCACCTGACACCATAAAAAACTTTTCAAACATACTGAGTCACACTGCATACTTCCACATATTAGAAGATATGTTTAAAAAGAAATATAATACTAATACATGTATCAAAACATAAACTAATACCTGCTTGAAGACCAAAAAAGAGCTCCTCATCCTGGAGTAATTCCTGTACACAGTCCAGTCTTGTGTTAATTGTTTCGGCATCAACTAGTGGCTCCAGGATATTGGATCTAAGCCTTCGACTTCCACCTGGAGTTTTAGTGTAATTTAGGACGCCAAAAAGTGTGTGACCATTCCTTTGAAAACAAAATAGACGTGAAATTACACTCACAAATATAAAGATAGTAAATGTCAGGTGACCTTTTCAGGTAAGAGTATCCTATAGATTTTAGATGTGCTTTTGGGATGCTTAGTATCTCCCTGTTTGCCATTTATAATATGTGAACTACAGCAGTTTAGGAAGTCGGGTAATTTAATGTAATTTAATATAATATTAGCCCTCATTATATCATTTTCCAAAGTACAGAAATACATTTGCACTCAGTATTTTCCTCATTTTGTGTACCAGTATTCCATTCCTACTGCAGTGGTGCAGTTCACATTTTTCCTGTCAATTGAACTGAACAAACTAACCCTACAAAAGAAGACAAATCATCATCTGATTATCAAATACTACTAAGAACATTTTAATTATAATATATTTCTGAAAATTATTTAAAATACTTAGAAGTCCAAGAGAGAAATAAGCTTTATTTTTTTAAAGAACTGATGCACAATCAATATAGAAGCCAAATAACATGCTTATGATTTATAAATATTATATTCATGTTCATGGCTTTTACATGTTGTACCTTCCAGGGTTTCACACTGAAGGGTTGATTGTATCTGTTTAAAATAAACAGCCTGTAATATTTACATCTAGTACATACCTGAACAGTTTTAGAAACCTGAAACCTTCAATGCTATCGGCTTTTACCAGCCAGTGAAAACACTGGAGCCATAGAGACATACTGATTGAAAACAGAATGTAAATAGGAAGAAATCTATACAAGTATACAAAACAAACAGCACATAGATAAAACAGTACAGAAACTCCTGAAATACCATGGTACAAAAGAACAAAGCAATAGTCAAGAGAATTAAAGAGGGGGAAATTCAGGATCAGTTTTATTAAGGACATATTTACCATAACATGCAACTCATGACAACACTTAGGGGGAACTCAACATTTGGGATAGTATCCACACCTTTAAGCAACTGAGGGCTCATTTCCCTATACAGTAAATGAAGAGAGACAGCCCCCTCCAGAACTAACACTGGCACAAGGACTTGATTTAGGTGTTTCTGGTGTGTGCCTGTACTGTCAACGTTTACCTGTTAGTATCTGATACAAAGATATCGAACCAGGCTTTTGGGGACAGATCTCTGTAGTAGAAATAGCTGTGTGTGGCCTGATTCAAACTTGCCACTGAGTCAGCAAAAATTCTGCAGCAATAATGCTAAAAAAATTAAATTTTAAAGCAGTTTACTGTCGCTCAGTTCCTCCTGTGACCTTCTGTGAAATTAGGAGCAGCTTTCAGAGGAATATTGCTCTGAGGGTACCCCTCTTAGGGTGCCTCCTGCAGTTACATATGAAGCAACAGAGCAAACAAGAGGGAACCAGCAGCAGAGCATGACAGATGAACAGAAAGAAGCCTCAGTCACCTCTCACTTCTGAAGAGCAGACCTAACTTTGTACTCTGTGATCCCCACAAAAATTTTTAAAAGAGAAAATAAAAAAAAAAAAAGAGCACTGGTAGAAGGACAAGGACACGGAGCAGGAACGAGATGATCCTTAACCATCCTTTCCAATCCAAGCCATTCCCATGACATCTCTGCAGTGGAAAGCTCTTACGAGCAGTACCTGGAGTGTGAGGACTCTCAGGGCTCCCCTCTCAATATCAGGGTAGTGAGTGGGCTTCTGAGCAGAGGTGGATCTCAGACCTTGGCAGACAGCAAAGCCATGCTCCAAGGCTTTCTCCTTCTGACCAGAAGCAATGCAGTCAGGGGAGGGAAAGCCTTGGAGCTGCCCCTGCACCGCAGGCAAGAGGCTGCTGAAGATGTGCTGCAAGCCTTGTTCTCGCTGTGCAGAGCTGCCATGAGATGAACTGCCACACTGCATGAGAACATCATCACAGAAACTGCTTTGTTTGCCGTTATTTCTCAGAGCTATAGGAAAACAAAGCAACCTTTCAAGCCTGGAGTGCTTATCTTGTGTAAAATGAGTAAGACCTAGGCATTTTAACCCAACATAGGCAACTTCTTGCAGAAATGTTGCCTCTTTCATTTCACAATCTGTGAAATTTTGCATTGACATCATTTATAAGTTTGAATAAAATACAGACATTGATGTAAAGATGACTATCATCTCTTCCTGCAATTCACTTGTAGGATTTCCTAGGCTAGAAATTTTGTGCTGAATTGTAATACATTTCTCTGTTCAAATATTTTTTATAAAGCTCTGAGTGGTATATAAGTTCTGTCACACAGAAATAAAAGTAATGGTCAGCTCTTTAACACAAACATCACGGAAACTTGGTGAAACATAACTTTATAAAAGTGCAATTTGTAAGCTTTAATACTCTTACCGAGAATCTCTGTTATTAATTACTAGTTCAAGATTTTGTGCTGATGATGAATCTATCATCGCTGTTTTCTCACTGCCCTGGAACCGCACTTTCAGTGATTTAGGAGCATAAACTGAATTTTGAATAAATTCAACATATTTTAGCAAAGCTGCAGCAGCTGCAAGACAGTAGTACCTTGGAAAGAAACAATCTTTAATTAATATTGAACAGTGCTATTTAAATACCACAAAACCAAGCGGTGCACAACAGAAATCACATTCACACTTTCGCTTGACAACTACTGGGACTGAAGGCACTGTAAAAGCTGTATGTTTTCAGTATGCACCAACCCATGTACAGTGCACATATATGGAAGTAAATCAAATACTGCTGAATGTTTGAGTCTCTGTACTCTTGACAGCCCCCACTCTATCGCTGGTATTGTGAACACACACATTTCAGTAGTTACACAGGGCTTGAAGACCCAGCTCACCAAGTATCACTACCTAAAATCGTTGGTAGAAGGAAAACACATGCTGAGGCCAGAAAGGAGGCAATCATAGCTGTTAAGCTGTATCTTTAAGGAATGAATTAAAAGGAGAAAGTAGAAAGCTGTGAAAACAAAACAAAACAAAATTAAAAAAAATCTGTAACCAGCCTACAGAAACGATAAAGTTTCTAGATATATCAGAAACACTGGAGGGCAAAATAAAAGAACAACTCTCTTACGATTTTCTAACTTTTTCAGCAAGGTACAGACTTGTGTACTAAGTATGTAAAAAGCTGTTAAAAACTTTTCTGGGCACAGTATGCTTTTCACTTATTTGAACATACTTTGATTGAACCTCCATGAAAATGGTGCTGAACTCAGACGCGCACAATTGCTCTATGTATTCCAAACCCTTTGTTTCATTGAAGTATTTTCTTTGGACAGTTGTAAAAGTCACATTCTGTGGAGACGGGGAAAAAACAAATAGTTTAAAAAGTTAATGGAGAATTTTCCACCTGAATTCTCTATTTTTCTAGGGATAATGCATCTCCAAGAAAATCTATCAACTGATTCAGCAATCTGTCTTTGCAGAAAGACTTGCTTATTAGCACAAGCAAGCCATACTACTGTCAATAATCTTTCCTCCTCACTCATAGTGAGTATATATTAAAAGGCTCATTCTACTGTTTTGAGCAAATTAATATAGGCTTTTTCTTGCATATTGCTTTTCATCTCAAGAACTAGCTACTCCAAATTTTGAACTTAACCTGGATTTGGCTAAAATTAATGACTTTTGAGGAAGTTGTTTTCATGCTAGCATTGATGCTCACATTCAAACTTTTCCTTTGCCAAGGTTTAAGCCCAAGGGGTCATTACCACCCCTTCAATAGTAAATAGGGAATAAAGATACACAGGTCAATGCAAGTGAATGTGTGCGATGAACAAGGGATTTATGCAAGAAAAAGAGGGGAGAAGTCAGGAAGTAGAAGAGGACTTGTGAAGAAGCCATCAGCAGTGTAGACATGGAAGCAATTCATGTAGTAGTTAATAGAGGTTTTTTAAGTTCTGAGGCTTTAATCCTCATAAATCACATACACCAGTTCATCTCACTCCCTTCTACCCTGCCAATGCTCTTTTTCCTATTCTGTGATACATTAGCACCATCTGTTTATCAGGTTGAGAGAACAAAGAAGGAGTAAAGGAAAATGCCTGAATTTCTTGACCCCTGAATCTTTCCTAGGTTCACCATGGCTCAAATTACTTCAATGTCACAAAATCAAAACTTTAGGCTTTCATCAGCAATATACTTGTCTCTGTAACTGTCACAATTAGAACTAGCTGCGCTGGATCTGTGTTTAGATTATTATTTACCATGGTAAAATTAGGCCTGAAAATCATAGAAAACACAAAATCTAATTGGGGAAAACTCTCAAATCAACAATGATCTAAAAGTGATCAAAAAGAACTTTAAAATTTTGACTGAAATATAAGAGCTTACCCTGAACTGTTCTGTTATCAAACTGAACAATTTCGTTGTGCTCCCTGACTCACAAGCAGTGTTTGACATTATTATTTCCAGTGGTGTTAAAATCTTGAGTTTAGTAATAACCTGAGGGGAAAAAAAATCAAAATAACACAATAAAAATCCATATATAATCTAAAATGTTTTACATGATAATGAATCAGCAGTAAAGAATTACAGAATCCTTGTCTTTTAGAATCACAGTTCCAGTCTTGTAAGACCATATTTTCTGCTAACCTTCTACCCTACTGAGTCACATTTATCTGTATCTATAGACAGAGATACATAAATATACATGAAGCTAAATTTAAAAAACAAACAAACAAAACAAGGCAACAGAGGTATCTATCCCGTTATTTAAACACAGAAACATGCTTGTCATCGAAGCAAGCGGTAACTATCCAAAGCGCTCTTCCATGCTATGATGGGAGGACGACTTCTTTTCAATCGATGGCAGCTTTCTGGGCTTCCGGCTGACAAGTTAACGGTGCTCTGGAGGATGAAGAAATGCAGCAGGTCTGAATATCACTAACCTTTTGGTTGAGACCTGTTTTAGACTTTGTTCTAACCTCCTCTTATAACATCTATCTCAGTCTTACCATTTTCAATAAGGCTCAAAATGCCCATATTTAAACCAGCTTTGCTTTGATTATGTTACACACACCTGTCGCAGGGGTTTAAAGTACACTATATACTTTTCTATTTGTTTTCTGTATAAGAAAGGACAAACTTCATTATGCATTTATATCATCACCCAGAAATTCTCAAGGGAGAAACATGAAAAAAAACAGGCTATATTTCAAGTGCTTAGAAGTTAACATGCAAAAGAAGGGACAGACAGCAGTGGAAAGGTGAATAAGCATAAAAAAAATACACAAAATGAATTATTTAAGGGTATTGGGGGGTGGGAGGGAGAGCTGTCACTGCCTATCTGCTATCATTAGGAAGTTTTTTTCAGAGGCATCACAGTTAGAGCAAACCTTGAAGAACTTAAAGAATACAAGAAAACTTTACTGAATTAATTTACAGGATATTCAGAAATAAAAAAGAATGCACAAGAACATACATGAAGCTTCATATTGATCAGTAGCAAAACACAGACAGTGACACTATAAGAAAAGAGCTGATCAGCAGACAGACAGAATTGTTAAAGGTGTTAGAGATTAAGATAAGAAACCAGGCCATGTGGTTCATTTGGAAAAAAGTAGTTTTATACTAGCAGTTTTTTGGGGTGGTTTTTTTTGGGACTAGATGGTCAATACAATATCAGGTATGCCCACAGAATGGGGAACTCAGTAATCTAAATGGGAAATTAGGAAGATAAGTGTATAAATAAAAATGTCATATTTTAGAATGGCAAGGGAGGGAAAAACTACACAATCCGGCCATGGCCTGACAGGCGGTTATAGAATCACAGAAGCATTGTGTTGGAAAAGACCTTCAAGATCATCGAGTCCAACCCTGCCCTGTCTGCCACTGAACCATATCCCTCAGCACCTCATCTCTCGGCTGCCGAACCCCTCCAGGGATGGGGACTCCACCACTGCACTGGGCAGCCCCTGCCACACCCTGAGAATCCTTTGGGGAATAAATTTTCCCCTATGTACAACCTAACCCCCCCCGGCACAATTTGAGGCCATTTCCTCTTGTCCCATCGCTTGTTCCAGGGGAGCAGAGATCGACACCCCCTTGCTACCCCCTCCTTTCAGGAGCTGCAGAGGGGATAAGGTCTCCCCTCACCTGCTCTTCTCCAGTTGAACCCGCCAGCTCCCTCAGCCACTCCCCATCATTTGGGTGCTCCAGACCCCTCCTCAGCTCTCTTGCCCTTCTCTGGCCGTGTTCCAGCCCCTCAATGTCCTTCTGGGAGTGAAGGGCCCAAACCTGACCCTAGGATTTGAGGGGTGGCCTCACCAGTGCCCAGCACAGGGGAAAGATCCCTGCCCTGCTCCTGCTGCCCACACCAGTGCTGATGCAGGCCTGGATGCTGGTGGCCACCTGGGCACGCTGCTGGCCCACATTCAGTCGCTGCCAACCAACACGCAGGTCTCTGTGCTCAGCAGCTCTCAGCAGCTCCTCCCCAGGATGTAAACTTACCAAGTTACAAGCCTGAGTAACAGGAGAGAGACATGTTATCAGAATTTAAAGACAAAGTATGAAAGACTTGAGAGAAGTAATTGCATTTTATCATTAAATTCAAGACAAAATTGAAAGTAAAGGTGTGGTGGAAGAGTTTGGGCAGCTAAAATACTACTCATTTTGAGAACAGTAAATTCATGGGACAATAATACAGTTCTTAACCCTGACACAGTAGAACAGGGGAGGGTCTAGACTCCAACGCTGCTACTGCTTGCTAAAAAGAAAGGCTTTTACTCTTAGAAGCAACTGTAATCTTCACAAAACCATTAAAACTAATAAACAATTTCCATATACATAATCTGAGGCTTCCTTGCAGAATTCTAGTCTTACCATTCTTTTGATTACATTGGACTTTTTTTCCCTAGGTACAAGCAAATTAATTTTTCATTTCCAAACCTTTATGTGAATTCTTATGCAAACTGCCACATTATCATACAAATGGCTATATTTTCTCATGTACCCACAATTTCAAGGTGTACATCTCATTTTTACTTTTAGTACTGTGTATTACGGAGGTATTTCTGTAGCTGCCTGGTTCAGTGCATACTTATGTGTGTTAAGACCAGGATAACCTTTAAAAGCACTTACGATTAAAGAAAAAAAAAGACATCATACAACATGTATTTTGGTAAACGGATTTCATAGCTGTTTATATTCTGAGTCATATCTACTTATTCTCCTAATTAAATTTAGTTTTTATTTCTTTGACTATTGTAAAGATGCTACAAGCCACATTATTTTCTAGCATGCATAACTACAACCACACTATTAAATAAGATGTTTAATTAATGCCGGTGTTGCACAAACCAGAGATTACTCTCCAAAATTAACATAGCGTATGCAGTGCTGGTAGGCAGAACACTTGTCTGCAAACCGAGCGAGAAGGAATATTATGCAGCCATACAAAGCCAGCCCTACAGTTACCCTACACCCCCACACATACTTATGTAGTTCTGTCCGACGAAAAACACTTGCAAGTTCTACTGCCATGTATTGCCCAATGCTCTTAAAAACCCGGGCACCTCACTCCCACATAGTTCAAACACTATTTTTTGCAGATAGGCTATTTTTCTTTTGCAAAACATTCTTCTTTATCTAAAGCCTGAGGCACAGTAAAGAAAATAGCAGTCCTTTCAACATTGCCTATATTCTAGAACTTGTTACTTTCACTTTTGAGACATTTCTTCTACAGCCTAAAAACTGAATTACCCATTAGTCATAAGCTTTTTCAAGAAAGTCACAATAATTAGCCTGTAAGGGATACAGCAATTAAGTGTGCAAAAATACCTTGGCATAAGTTGTACTGTCTGCAAACTGTGACAGTATCACCTCAGGATTTTTTAAGTCAATGCTGGCCATTCCCACTTCACCTCTGGCAAGGCCCCTTCCTTCGACCACAGCTACAACCACCGACGCGAGGGCATGGGCAGAGACTGTAGACGAGGAGGTACCTGTAAAAAGTTGCATGCACTTGGTTACTAGTCACTGCTCTACAGCCACAGAATCATACTTTGTCATTCCAAGTGAAATATGTGTTTATATTTCCATTTCCACGGAGTCCTTTCAATTCACCAAACTCTGTTAAAAGTTAAAAACCCTGTTGTTGAACTCCTTACTTGCCACACTATACAGACAGGGCACACTTTCCAAAGTACGAACATCATACTCATACATGAAAAGACTGATAGAATCTAAGACTGTCAGAACTAACCCCAATCTTGCAGCAAGTGAAAACAGCATTTCTGAGTCACTGTCTCTGTCCTAAACAGAAAAGATGTTCAGTACATGCCAAAAGGCATGGCTAGTACTAAACATTTGCCATTTTAAATTCAAAACAATGTACAGATATTACTGCTATTTAAAATCAAGTGTATTGATTACAGAGAGATACTGTAAGCTAATATTCCACTAAAATACAATGCTGAGGTGGCTCAGATCTCACCAAGTTAAAGGAAACAAATGCATATTTTATATAGATATACACACACATTTCATCTGATTTTACACTGAACTTATTCAGTGAATACATGAATACAAAGTAAGTGACAAGAGGCTGCAATACCAAAACATCTACTTAGCAGCTAAAGTAGTATTTTCCCCTATGGGTGCATCTTTCATTGGCAGACATCCTCTGTATTAGGAAACACATTATGTTTTGTGTTTTGAATATAATTCAGTACATTACTGTATCACATTAAAAATAAAGTGTGTTTAACAAAATAACATTAGAAATGTAAGTAGGACGATTTCCTTTAAGAGCTGCTCACCTTACCTGAATACCCCATAAGAGGGGTACGGCTTCTGTAAACACATCTACCAGAAGAGAGGGGTGGTTTTCCTATGCATGAGCTCCTCGGGCCCCGTGTAGATGAAGAGCTGGTGAGATTCAACGCGCTAACATTTTCTACACAGGAACTTTTGTCTCCGAAATACGATTCTGAGGGGAGGAAAAAATATTAACTTGTGAAAATAGACACACTAAATAACAGTACATCATTTAACTGAAGAAAAAAAAAGATTTTAATAAGATTTTATTCAGAAAGCAATATATAAATATACAGCTTAGAAAACTTAATTCTTCTTATAGAGATACCCAAGCAATAACCTTAAATGTCATTCTATAAAAGCCCTCCAAAGTATAAAATGAAACAAAAATCAGTCTGTTTTGAAAACAAACTTGTGTCAATACGGCTGTTTTCCACAATGACATTACTTGCAGCACCAATAAAAGTCTTTGTTTACATTGTTGGACTGAAATAATACAACAGAAGTCACTTTACAAGGCATAATTTCATATCCTAATGAATTCAAGATTTATGAAATAATGCTGTAAGTCAGTGCTCTCTTGCATTTGCCTACAAGTTTTAAAATCCGTACCTGAAACTGCACGCGTGTTTATAAACTCTTTTTTTTAAGCTGAGAGTTCTTTTTAAAAAAACTACAATGAAAGAAAACAAAGATCCATGCTCAAAACCTCCTCCACTTGAGAACGATCTCCCTTTGAATTTCTGGGGTTCAGCTTTCAGAAATCATACAATAATCTGAGACGTGTTTGCTGTCTGAGGTTTCTTTTACATATATATCTTCAGATTCATCAACATTTTTAGGCTCTGCAAAAATCTCTTTTTCTCAGATAATTCTTTAGCTTCAATAAATTATTTAAAGTATTTTACTTATTTTCAGTTCTCTTGAGATGACTAAAACCAACATCACAGCCTTAATCTATCTTGGATAATTGCTTTTTAAGATAAAAATAATAATTAAAATATAAACAGTTTTTCCACTTAAAACTCACAGAATTCCAGATACTGAGACAGGCAAACCAAATGTTTCTGTTCCCTCTACTGCATTAAAAATTGATTTGCAAGACAAAATACTTCAGTGCTGCTCTCAGATGACCTATTAACTGCATAACATTTTCTCATTGTTGGTACAAAAATATTTACACTACTGAGGTTTTTTTAATGGGTTTGTTGTTTTTTATCTTACTGTGACAACTGAAAAAAACAACATCATTTCACAGAATCACAGAATATTAGGAGTTGACCATATTTAAAAAAAACCAAACTGGACAAATCAGCATTGCAATGCATATAGACGATTTTCACAATAGCATTCACTTAGACTTTGGCAGAAGTTCACTCAGAAGTTTGGCAGAAGAGACTTTGTTTTATCTTAGAATGTACTGAGCCTGAGTTAACATGGGGAAAAGTGTAATTTTAAAGGCAAAGTGAAGAAAATAATCTAAAGATATTTTTTAAAACAAACTTTTCACAAATAAGTTATGCCCTACTCAAATTAGCACTCTTTGTTTGTTTGTTGTTTGGGTTTTTTTAGGATTCATGACTGATCACGTACATTATTACCCAAAACCATGTTACCTTCTTCCCAATTTATGCGTAACAGAGATGTATTTATTTCAGAACGCATTTCAGCAAGTGTGGAAAAAAACCACTTCCATCTCTTTTTATAGTTTTTCCACTGAAAGAAAATACAACTTGAATCATGTTTTTCTGCCTGCCAAGACACAAACTTTGATGGTAGGGTCAAGTCTCATGAACCAGGTGATGCGCACGCGTTCAGTACGCAGGAGTTGCTAAGTGGTCTCATCCCCGGGGGCACCCAGGAGACTGCGCTAGCAGCAGCTTTATGTAAAGGATAGCAAATAGCAGGGTTGCATTGTAGGACTACAACATTCCTACAGCACATCAAAACTAACAGCACTTAAAACTATTTCAAAGGACACAAAAAAAAAAAAGGCAAACCAACCCAAAACAAAAAAACAACCAATCAACCAAAAAAACCACACACATAAACGATACCCATAACCAACCGAGTGTAGTTAGAAGGGTCACAAAGACAATCAGAGGCCTGGAGCACCTCCCCTATGGGGACAGGCTGAGAGAGTTGGGACTGTTCAGCCTGGAGAAGAAAAGGCTCTGGAGGGACCTTATTGTGGCATTCCAGAACCTGAAGGGGCTACAGGAAAGCTGGGGTGGGACTTTTTACCAGGGCAGGTAGCGATAGGATGAGGGGGAATGGCTTTAAACTGGAAGAGGGGAGATTTAGACTGGATATCACGAATTCTTTACTGTGAGGTGGTGAGGCCCTGGCCCAGGTCGCCCAGAAAAGCTGTGGGTGCCCCCTCCCTGGCAGTGCCCAAGGCCAGGTTGGATGGGGCTTGGAGCAGCCTGGGCTGGTGGAGGTGTCCCTGCCCACAGAGGGGTTGGACTGGGGTAGCTTTGAGATCCCTTCCCACCCAAACCACTGTGATTCTATGGTTTGGGTCTCTCGTAAACCAAATATTGTGTTGCAATTCAAACCAGTTTATTGGTCTCAAGAGGGAACTCAGGTATTGCTATCTAAAAAGCTTACATAAAGATTTACTTAAAAAGCCATGAGGAACGACTACTATCGTTCGACGGGCTGAACTGACACAAGGGGATGCTGCTGCCCCCTGCCAGTACGGGCGCCACTTATGACAGCGCTTCCGAGGCCCGACCCCAGCAGAGGGCAGGGGATACAAGAAAGGGACAAAACCTCGGGCAGAGATGGCAACACCGCGCCCACCTCCTCTCCCG